CATCATCATCGTCAGTCGTGGTTGCTTGATCTTTCGGGCTGCTTGGCTCGACATGATCTTCATCACTTTCCTCTTCGTCCACCAGAAAATGCTGGGCCAGCTGGCCACCAGACAGCTGAGCATCATCAATGCGGAACTTTGCAGCCTCTTCGCCGCTTTCGGATTTGGCACTTTGTTCTAATTGCGGGTCCTCGTGCTTAGTAGTAGCAGGAGTAAAAGCAGCTGCCTCGGACAGCGAATCTAGGTTCGTGTGCAGTTGCTCCTCCACCTCACTTATCTCAATCGCTTCCTCAATGTCCTCTTCTATGCTGCTGCTTGAGGTTGTTGTTGTGGTCGCTGTGGCGATCCTTGGTGCCACATGGCCGCTGCTTGTCGCCTCACTTGTTGTTGCCGCTGTGTGTTGCTGTGGCTCGGCCATGTCAATGGTAATGGAGCTTGTGGGCGGCTCGATGCTGAACGACGAGATCGTGTTGTCGTTCTCGGTGAGACTCAGATTGTTCTGCTGTCTTAGTAGCTCGGCAGTGTCTGTTGATGTGACCGCGTAGGGAGTGCTGCTCGAGCTGGTGACAGCCGTAAAGCTACTTCTGGAGATTATATATGTGTGCGTCGATGCGTTATCACCATCAGAGTTGGCGCCTGAACTGTCAATATTATCGCATGCTGTTGGAGCTCTCTCGGCAACATGTTGCTGTCGCTCGTGCTCTCTGCCTGCTGATTTATTGTGGACCTCCGATGCTTGAAACACAAAATTCAATGTTGGTATAAACTCAACATCTACATTCTGTACGACATAGTTGCAGCTGGCTGCCGCCTGGCTATGTTGCTGCTGTCCAGCAGCGGGCGATGACTTTGGATTGCCGACTGGCTCCTCTGGCGCTTCGATTGCCTTGTAGAACGCGCTGCCACTGCCCGTACGGAGCAATGATGTGATCTAAAATGAAACGATGCACAACTTATTATTACAAAAAAAAAGGGTACTTTTTGCAGCAAAGATACATTTTATACTGTGAGATACTTTAATAGTTGCCTCGTGTACGTGTACGATTGGGTTCTTTAATGTGCATCTTGCACAGATTGCTGCTTGGCCGACTTGGCAGTGAAACTTTTGGTCTGACGCCATAATAAAATCATTTCGGATTTCATTTTCGTAATGATGTCACCTCATTTTCAACGCCAACAACGCGACAATGTTGTCACAACAGCGGCGCACGCATTGTCAGGATTATGGGGTTACGACACGTTAAGAAGCGACATGTTAAGATTTGTGCCTAACATCAACGATCTGTGTGTTCAGAGATCGGCATTGATTAGGCAACATTTGCGTGCCAATCGCTGGCAGCTCCAGCCAATTGACCCGCATCTGACACTAAACTCAAGTGTATATTGGCGGGCCGTGCGATGCCGTGGCATCTGGTGTGGCCCACGCTGCGGCAGCTGACTCAGGCGCTATTTGATGGATTGCAGCTGTGGCATTAGGTTGCCAGCTACCGGCCGCCCTTTTATAATTAGAATATCGGAGGCATTCTTAAATTTTGTAATAAACGCACAGATCACCGCCTGCAACTTATTAAAGTTGCAGATGGTTCGTTTATTTATAAGTATATTGCGAGCATGGGCACTAATTAAAACGTTGTCCACTTGATATGTCTGGGTGAGGTAACACGCAAATGTGTGTGAAGCTGACGGAGCATCCGCCACAAAGTCTGTGGCTGGAGATCCAATTAGAAGATTATGTATATTCGACATTAATTGAGATCGATGCGCCTATTGCTTTCGCAAACGTCTGCGCTCTGCTAGAGAATTACAAAATAAGTGCATGTGGGTCAATCTGCAACAAATGCAACTAACTGGGGCAAGACGCGTACAAACGACTTGACTTATGCGAGTCGCAGACGGCGCGGATTCCTGTTGAACGTCCTTGAACTTGTCGGGCCACGCAAATTGATTTGGGTCCTTTGACAGTATCGGGATAACAGTTTTCACCATCGCCATGGTTACACTAGTTCCCGATAAAAGTTTCGTTCTATGTGCGTGTCTCGCGAAATCGTAAGTTTTGGGCCATATTCCATTCTTCCAGCTCCTGCCGCCGACTGGTTTTGATTGAGGAAATTTCATTTTATTCGCGGTTGCGGTAGTCTCTGCATTTGTTTGGGGTGTGACACACATTCGGAACGTAGAATAATAATAACCTATTGCCACTCCCAATAAACAGGGGCCATTGATGGGATCTGATTTTCGTACAGCAAAAATGTATCGAATATTAACACGAATGTGCCAGCTAATCCTTTGGCCTAAACCAAGCCCCAACTGTGTCTACTTACTCGGCCCCTAGACTAAGCTAAGTCCTAAGGTAGGAGTCAGCTACTCACATGTATTTTGCTCATGGTTAAGGTCGCTTTGGGCGCAGTATTCAAGTTGAAGAGCCGCGTAAATGAAGCTTGTTGTCACTTTGTACTTTTTTTATAGATACAATTATTTATTTTGTGTTGGTTTTTTATTTTTTACAACTTCGCACACACGCTCGCGCCTTTTATCTAGCGATTCGAGGCGAGCTACCGACGACCGCCTGCAATGCAAGTTCTTTTATAAATAAAATACCACGCTCAGCACGGCTGACGGCTGACGGCGGAGGCGTCGCTCGATTCCCAATTCACAAATCAGCCAGCACTCTGTCAGAGGCAGTCAATCCAAAGAAATCACAAGCAACCAGCAGAGAGCCAGCTAGAGAAAAGCGAGCGAGCGACCGAGCGAGCGCGCCTAACGTACAAAATTTGCAACGGTTCGAAGCGGTTCCGTGCACCGAATGCGCTCCCATTTCTTATTTATAAACAAAATGTGGAACGCAAACGCTTCTGTGGGCAACATGTTGGCGGCCAATGGGAACGAGAGCGCCATCAACATGCTGCCTGGCTGCTTGGCTGATGGCGCTCAGTTGATAAGGCGCTAAATTTGAATGTTTATTTGATTTGGGCGATTCGAGCCCTTGGCTTGTTTAGCTTATTGAGTGAAAGGTCAAAGACGCATTTAGCTTTCGGTTGTTGGAAGCACGTGCAGATAAAGCGGTACGTTAAGAAAACTGAAAACTTGTTATTCGTTCCGTTAACGGTTCAAAGATATACCTAGTCTTCAGCATTGGTTCGTGAACCTGAATTTTGAATCTGTGAATCTGTTGGTTCAAGCGTTGGTTCAATTAAATTATTGTCATATCTATATATACACACGTGCAGATAAAGCGGTACGTTAAGAATCAGGGCTATAAACTGAAAACTCGTTATTCGTTCCGTTAACGGTTCAAAGATATGCCTCGTCTTCAGCTTTGGAACTCTGGTTTTGGTTCAAGCCTTGGTTCACTTCAATTTTGACCATATTTATATATACACATTTAATAATCCAAATTAGTATTTTAAGTTTAATTGCGATCAGGTTAAGTTTAGGTAGTTTTTATTCAAGCGAATATTTGGCATTCCGTGCATAAATCGGGCTTGTTAACATTTTAGCAACACTTTTGAGCTACATACCCAATCGTATATTGTGTATAGATTCATGATGTCGTTGTCTGTCTCAGGCGGACCACTAATGATTCACTTGCTCGGATCGATTTGGGCCGAATTCATTATCAATGTCCACACAATTGGCTCACACTTGGCCGCCAAAAATGCCCGAGGAAGCATTTGCGACTGTCAATTATGCATATTTATTTTTCTACAATTTTGTTTAGATCCGTTTACTGGTTGCGGCTGCTGTTCTTGTTCTTGATTGGTTTGAATTTGCTTTGAAAGCGTGCTGCGGTCTATTTCTGTTTTATTTGGTTCAGTCTAAACACACACACACACACTCACACGAACAGAGGTTATGTAGGAGAAAGATTTACGTAAAATTCGAACAGCACTGACTTTTCTAAACTAAAAAACACAGACAAAAAGAAAACTGGGTGCGCGAAACGTTAGATCGTCATCGCGTGGCTTTTCCGGCTCCTCTGAAATGTGCACTCCAGAACCCGAAAGTGCACCAAGTGAAAGTGCAACTGATCGATCGGAGCAGTTGCACGTAACAGCGCAACAATCCAATGCAACTGAATCGATCTGCCTGGCATTAAGAGAGCCAGCCATCGGCCTTTGGTCTTTTATTTTTGGTCGTTGGAAATTGAAAAGAGAGGCGAAGCCTAAATAATGCTCACTCAAGCACAACACCAAGACGTCTTCTATATTCAAATACACACACACACACACAGAGAGACTCACGAACAGATGTGCATGCATCTCTGCCCACATACTATTTACTCGCAGACAGGCCATTGAATGCAGCACAGATAAACAAATCTAGAATCGGTGTATATATTTTTTAAATAAGACTCGCCCCCAACAGAGACATACAATACTTGTCAGATATGTACACAAGATCTCAAACTAAATACAATAGTAGAGTCAAGTTTAAATATAGAACTCTGGTAACCTAAGAAAATTCCACTAGCATGGGTGAAAAATTGGTGGAATATGGTTAGGGTGTTTAGTTTCCATCCGATCAATCTTAACTCGTTTTAAGAGATTTAAAGATATTAGTTTAATAAAAATTCATTAGTTGAATCAAGTTTAAATATAGCACTGTCCGATAGAACTCTGATAACCTTAGAAACTAAGAAAGTTCCACTAACATGGCGAAAAACTAGTGGAACATGGTTAGGGTAGTTAGGTTCCATACGATTGATCTGATTTAACTCTTTTCAAAATATTTAAAGATATTAGTTTAATAAAAATATAATGGTTGAGTCAAGTTTAAATACTGAACTCTCTGATCGAAGTCTGGTAACCTTAGAAACTAAGAAAGTTCCACTAACATGGGGGAAAACTGGTGGAAAATGGTTATTTTAAAAGATTAACAAAAAACCCTTTCCATTTGATGTTGTTGTCCAGTTGGCTCTATCAAAGCAAAATTTTAGTTATCTTTTATTTTCTAGATAGAAAAAACAAGCTCATTTATATATATTTGTGTATATATAGATTAGTGTATATTGAAGTCAGTGTACAAATTATATTTTGTACAATCCATTATTAACAATAACTATAAGTTTTTCTACAACACATTCGTTTCAGTTCAGTTTGTAAATGCAATATCAGTAAAAGACATATAAAACTTTTGATAAAAGGCAAATCACGAAGGCGTTGAGTCAATGTACAATTTGTTTGGCGCTTAATTTTGTCAGTTGCCTTAAATTGGACATCCTGTTTTGTCTATTCATTTGTTATCCAATAATTAACTCCTATTCAATTTGTATAAAACTTTGTAGTTCGTTTTGCGCTAACCGCAAGGCACAACCGCGAAGGGACGCATCAATTTCAGATTGGAAATTCGATCCTCGTCGGTCAAACAAAATATCATAAATAGGTAGAGTCAAGAGCAAACTATATACTAGGAGAAAAACGAAAATGTTTTCTTGTCATTCTGGCCGGCCGCCCTCTTTCTGCTTGAACTTCGTCGAGTACTTGTAGAAGTCGGACATTTCGAAGGGCTTGGTCACCTCCTTGTACGGCTGAAAGGTGGCCTGCTGCACCACGGTCATGTTCTTGGGCGATTCGATGCGTATTTCAGGCGACAATCCAGCTGCAGCCGTGGCTGTGGCCACGGCCAGCGGCGGCGACACCAAAGCATTCTGCAGAGCATTGCCGCTTATATTATTATTGCTGCTGCTGCTGCTGATGTTGTTGTTGTTGCCAACTGGCGGGGGCCTGGGCGGCGGCGTTGGCTGCTGGTTTTGGTTTGGCTTGGGCGGCAGAAGCCTAAATGGCGGTATTTCGAGCGGTTCTAGCGGGTACGAGGCCGAGATGCCCACCGTCTGCTCCATGGCATTCAGATAGGACGTGGACTGACTAAGCTTGGCAAATCTTTCGTCCGCGTGCTGCAGAGCCTTCGAGCTGCCGACAACCGGATATCCAGTGGGCGCATAATTATGTGCACTGCGCTGAGCGGACATGGAGTAGTGACGACCCGACACCGACATCGACTGCGAGGAGAGCTTGGTCCGAGGCTTGGCAGCGGCGCCACTGCCATTGCTGCTGACCGGACTGTGAGCTGTGGATTCGATTTGCCGCACAACTGCGGGCCCATCGAGCGACGATTCAAGCCACTGCTTGGGCTTGAGCTTCTTCTCTATGGTCGTGCTGCTGGCGGACGTTGAGCACAATGATATCTCGTCGAGGGGCTTGGGCTTGCTGGCATAGCGCGGCATGGGCGCCGCCAGCATATCGCTGGAATGCGACTTCGGTTCGGCTGCCAGGGCAGCGGTCATGCTCTGATTCTGATGCGGATGAGGCGGCGTCAGTGCTGCAATATGGGATTGTGAGCGCCAGCGATACTGCTGCTGCTGCTGTTGTTGCTGCTGCTGCTGCTGATGCACGCTCTCCACATCTACGGACATGTAACTGGGCGCCAACGAGATGGCGTCCAGTTGTCGCTGATGATGCAACGAGGCTTGCTCATAGCTAATGGCACTCGGCGAGGCGAGCGGCGACACATACTTCTTGATGTTCTGACTGGACTTGATGAAGCCGCCCTCGTTGTAGCTCTGATGAGTCGGTGACAGATAGTACTTGTCGCACTGCACAATAATGGGCTGCTGCTGGGGCGCCACGTGCTGCTGCCGCAGCGTGGCCACATTCGAGGAGTTGGCCGAGTACATGGATATGACATCCGTCTGGCCTTGGGAGCGTTGCTTTGGCGGCTGCTGTTGCTGTTGCAAATAGCTGGCATGCTGCTGCGAATACATTTCCATATGATGGTGCTGCTGCTGCAGCAGAACATGTGGCTGCTGTGGCAATTGCTGCCGCTGTGCCACATATTGCATTTGTATTTGGGCAGTGGGCGTGGGTGTGGGACGTTTCTTCAAGGCGCTCTTAACGTGCGGATGCTGCTGGGATTGCTGCTGAGCGACGCCTATGACCAGCATGTCACCATTGGAGCCAGCTGGCTGATAATTATCATACTCTGAGCTGCGATTAGAATGCGTCTCCGAGTGTCGATTGTTGTTATTATTATTGTGGCTGCTATAGGTCTGGCTGCCACCGGGCTGGCTCTCGCCTCCTCGGCTGCTGGTGCTCTGTTTGCGTCGCAGCAATGCGCCGCTGTCCTTGGCCAATGCCTGCAGCTGTTGCTCATGCTTGTACTGCTGCGCCAACTGGGCAAAGAACTCGTTGATCGTCAGGTGCTCGTAATTGCCGTGCATGATGGCAGACTCCTGCTTCTGGATCTGCTGCAGCAACCAGCTCTTTTCGCTCAAGCGCTGCTCCAGCGACTGTTTGCGCGCCTCCAAGGACTCGCGTTTGCTGGCAACATCCTCATTATTGTTATTGTTATTATTATTATTGTTGTTGCTGCCGCTGCTGGTTGGATTGCTACTCGTACTATTGTTGTTGTTGTTATTGTTGTTGTTGTTGCTGTTGCCTTGTCGATGGTTAGCTGCCGGTTCATCATCTTTCAGACTGGCCATATTCCTGCTCTTGGGCGCTTTCAATTGCATCGCCAGGATTTCTGCTCCCTGCGTCAGTTGATGCGATCTGCTTACATTCACAGCTTATACTGTTTTGACTGGCGGTGGTTGCGGTGCGCGGTGCGTGCGAGATCCTAGAAAGACATAAGCAGTCTTCAATGATTGTCGCCAGTTGTTTAGCCCATTTGGTTTTAGTTGAGAGTTAGCATTGGGATTTGTTTAACTTTTGTTAGAGACGTGCACTAGCTTATTAGACTTTATGTACAGCTGCTGCCTGCCGCTCCACTTGCCTCTACAAAGACACCGCACCACCACAACCACTGCAGAGATATCTTTAAGTATGTACAAATGTATCTATGAATGTCCCATGCCCAATTGCAGATCAGCACACCAGTGTCCATTGCAGTCTGCGTGCATTTGATGCACACGGGATGTACTTAATAGTTTATATAGACAAAACTCGTTGAGCTATGTCCGAATGGGGTAAACTATGTGTATAGAAATGGTAACTGTACAAGGCTAGAGGGCACACATGAACCGAGAACCGGGAACCGAGAATGACAAGAACTACGCTTAAAGCTGGCAAATGCTATGATTTGTACATAAAATGCTTAACAAATAACCACAAACAAAAAAAAAAAACAAAAACAAGAAACAACAGGCAAAGCAAATGTGTATATGTATTGAGAACTCACCAATAATCCGCCTCGATGTGCCCTGCCCTGCCCTAATTTGATGCAATGTTTACCAAACAAATAGGACGCTTGGTGTGGCGATGCTGCAACAAGAAGAAACACATTGAATTGTAAAGCCACAAAGCCAAACTGGCGTAAACAACAGTTACCCAGGTGAGTTGCAAGTAGCGCACCTGGTCTTTTGTTTTTATGCTACGCAGAAATGCGGTCGCATAGCGTCGCTGCGAGACGGCGTCGTCACTTTTCCTTGGGCACAACACACGGCTGCAGTCGTTGGACGCTTTAATTTAAAATATTAACATCAAACAAGTTGCGAAGGGAATTTAAACGTCGCTTGTTTAGTTGAAATAAAAACGAATTCAGCAAATTATATTATAAAAACATGCAAGAAAAATGCTTCTGATAGGTAGCAAAGAACAAAAATTTTTTATATGATCGATATATCGATATGCCGACATCTGCATACAATATATATCGCGAGGCCCATACACGGCACGACACGAACGTGAGACGATCTGTTTTAGAAACTGCAGATAAGTGAGAAAATATGAAGTTGTTTTTCTTTTCTTAGTATATTGCTGCCAATAAGCATTACTATTTAACACAATTCAATGCATAAATAAAATGTCATTCAAAGGCCCACACACGTTGCAATTGACCAGTCTTGGCCAGCTTTTTGTTGATGAAATTGCAGTGTTGCACACGAAACTCAGTTCTATTGTGAATCACCCAAGAGGCAGCTAAAGGTATAACAGAGTTCCGAAATCGTCAATTAAAATTACATAAATTCTTGTGTTGCGCGCATAAAAAATAACATATGTCATTGCAGTTCATAAAAGCGCACACACACCTGCGCACCGCTAGCCGACTTATCCTACAGATTCAGCTAAACAGAGCGCACACAAAAACGTGGAGTTGGCGTGAGCGTGAGACCTTTGCCAACAAAGCAGAAGCGAAAGCATCTTTTAGCACAACATCTTTAGCCGCCGGCGCCGCCTCGGCCAGCTCTTGGGGTAGCAAAAAGCAGAAACGCAAAGTTGAATTGCGAGCAGCAGCAGCAGAGTTCATCATGTCGAACCCAGAGATTGAAGCGCAACTGGCTCCGCTGCGCGAGCGGGTGCAGGAGCAGGGCAACCTGGTGCGGGAACTGAAGGCAAAGGGTGCAGCCGAACTGGATGTGAAGAAGGCGGTGGCAGAGCTGAAGGTGCGGAAAAAAGTGCTGGAGGAGAAGGAGCTGGCGCTGACGCCAAGCGTTGTCAGCTTTGATCGCGCCAAAATGGAAGATCTGCTCAAACGTCGCTTCTTCTACGATCAATCCTTTGCCATCTACGGCGGCATCACCGGCCAGTACGACTTTGGGCCCATGGGCTGTGCGCTCAAATCCAACATACTTGCTCTGTGGCGGCAGTTCTTCAGTCTGGAGGAGCAGATGCTGGAAGTAGACTGCTCCATGCTGACGCCGGAGCCGGTGCTCAAAGCATCCGGGCACGTGGAGCGATTTGCCGATCTGATGGTGAAGGACGTCAAGACTGGCGAGTGCTTCCGACTGGACCACCTAATCAAGCAAGCACTCGAAAAGCTGTCCAAAGCCAAGGATGCAACCGCAAGCCTACAGGCCGAGTGCGAGGACATCATCATTAAGCTGGACGGACTAAACAAACAGGAGCTCGCTGACGTGCTGGCCAAGTATGACATCAAGTCACCGCTGACGGGCAACGATCTGACAGAGCCCATTGAATTCAATCTGATGTTTGCCACGCAAATCGGACCCACTGGCCTGGTGAAGGGCTTCCTGCGCCCGGAGACGGCGCAGGGCATATTTGTGAACTTCAAGCGCCTGCTGGAGTTCAACCAGGGCAAGCTGCCCTTCGCTGTGGCCCAAATCGGCAACTCGTTCCGCAACGAAATCTCCCCGCGCTCCGGCCTGATACGCGTGCGCGAGTTCACCATGGCGGAAATCGAGCACTTTTGCGATCCCTCGCTGAAGGATCATCCGAAGTTTGCCAAGGTGGCCGGCGAGAAGCTAACGCTATACTCGGCCTGCAACCAGATGGACGGCAAATCGGCGCAGCAGTCGACCATTGGGGACGCAGTGGCCAGCCAGCTGGTGGCCAACGAGACCCTGGGCTACTACATGGCCCGGATTCAGCAGTTCCTGCATGCGATCGGCATCAAGCCCGAGTGCCTGCGCTTCCGCCAGCACATGGGCAACGAGATGGCACACTATGCCTGCGACTGCTGGGACGCGGAGATTCTCACCTCGTACGGCTGGGTCGAGTGCGTCGGCTGTGCTGACCGCTCCGCCTACGATCTGAGCCAGCACACAGCCGCAACGGGTGTGCGTCTGGTGGCCGAGAAGCGTTTGCCAGCTCCCAAGACAGTCGAGGTCAGCGAGATTGTGCCCAACAAGCAGGCTCTGGGCAAGACCTTCAAGAAGGAAGCCAAGGCCATAACGGATGCGCTGGCCAAGCTGTCGCTGGACGACATCAAGCAGGTGGAGGCACAGCTGGCGACAGGTGGCCCCTACAAACTGACGCTACCCGACGGCGCCACGCACGAGCTCGGCGCCGAGACAATTGGCGTGAAGCATGCCACCAAAACTGTGCACGTGGAGGAGTTCATACCGAGCGTGGTGGAGCCGTCTTTCGGCATCGGGCGCATCATGTACGCCCTGCTCGAGCACAGCTTCCAATGCAGAGATGGCGACGAGCAGCGCTGCTATTTCACGCTGCCCCCGCTCGTGGCTCCGCTCAAGTGCTCCATTCTGCCGCTCTCGAACAACGCCGAGTTCCAGCCGTACACTCAGCAGCTGTCCGCGGCGTTGACCAAGGCGGAGCTGTCGCACAAGGTGGACGACTCGAGTGGCTCGATTGGACGTCGCTATGCGCGCACCGACGAGATTGCCATACCCTATGGCATCACCGTGGATTTCGACACTCTTAAGGAGCCGCACACCGTCACACTGCGGGATCGGAACACCATGAAACAGGTTCGCATCGGACTCGACGTTGTTGTCGGCGTGGTCAAGGATTTGGCGACGACGCGCCTCACCTGGGCACAGGTCCTAGAGCAGTATCCGGCTTTCGAGCAGCAGGAGGCCACAAAATGATTTCAATTTTCTGTTCTACATTTTTTTATACGCGGTATATGCATCATATGTGTATGTATGTGTGCATGTATCTACGCGCGGGGTTCTTACATGCGGATACCTGCGCATTTATTAATGCATTTAAAATGCTCTTTTTGCAGTCGCTTTCATTTGAATAACAATAAATGCTTTCGCCAATTCGATTAAATTAAAAAGCAATGAGTTTAGTTTTGAATAAAAGAAGGAAAAACATAAAATACCAAAAATTCAAATTTAAATTCAACCGATGTGCAACCGTTTTCCAACATTGTCCATTAAGTGCTGCCATTACCAATACTATTTGTTGTGCAACATAGACGTGCTGTGAATGTTTTTCAACGATTTTTCAAATTGATTTCATCAAAATTCTTGCTTGATTTTGCAGCAACAAATTGAATAGATCAAATATTGAAATTCCAAAAATGAATTACTCAATATATGAAAGGAAAATGGTTAGGTACTAATTTTTTTTAAATGTAATAAAAAGAGCTGTCATATGAATAAAATTCGCAAACAAATGAACACACAATTAAAAAATTAAGAAAATTCAAATTTACCAACAGAATCCAGCAAATTATAAGTCAATGTGACCATGTATTGAAACTAAAGAAATGACATTCACATTTGAACGACATCAGCAAAAATATCGAAAACAAATCGACGCATCGAGTTAAAATATCAATACTTACATCCCTAGAAACGTTGTGCGAATGGCAATTTACTGTAATTTCTTTTCCGCGAACAGCAGTACCGACCGCATTTACTGATTTGGCGCCTCCAGTTAATATGTTAAAATATACTGTTTTCACGTGGGTTTCTAAATTAAATGCCATTAATAATAAATGAAGAAAATTGACTGACTCAAAACTGTTGCCAATTGTCGTGAGTGCATGTAAACACATCTACGCGGCAACCAAATAGTCAGATAGGCAGATCTTGGAAGTGGATTACAAGTGCCGCGTGTTCAGCCTGTCTAAAAGCTGGCACATACCATATTTAATTTTAACGTGAACTGTTATTAATATGAAGTACATTTTGGTTACTGGTGGTGTGATAAGCGGTGTTGGCAAGGGCGTCATCGCCTCTTCCTTCGGTACGCTGCTCAAGTCCTGCGGCTTGGATGTTACATCCATAAAAATTGATCCATATATTAACATCGACGCGGGCACGTTTTCGCCGTACGAGCATGGTGAGTTTATATACATACATAAATACATATGTATTTATTTACGTACAAACAAATATACAGTTATGCATGCAAAAAAGAAACGACGCAAAAGTATTTTAAAGCATCAGCATTCAATTTTGGCAACTTTTCAATCTCTTTTTCATATACACATGAATGTACGTATAAATGTTTGTATTTATGTATACATGTACACGTGTGCGAATCTCTTCCGCTTTGTTTTACATTCGCAGCTTTGTTGTCTTATTAAGGCCATTCGCTTTACTACACGTGTTTCGGCTTGCCCATCGGAATTTGAAATTCTTCAAATGCCCTTACATGGGCTTATCATTTTGTGTTTAATTATGTAACGCATTGGGGGTAATATCTTCGACCCCGTCAAGTTTATCTACAATAAACTGCGCCAATTAGAAGTATTTATTATTAATTGTTTATGTATATATATCTATATTTAAGCTTTATACCTAAAAACTGTTATGTACGTTTTGTCAAAAACTGTGATATACCCATTAATGTTGCGCGTAAAGGGTATAAGGATGAAATGTAACTGTACGTAACAAACATAAGATATATGTTCGACTATACAAAGTATAATCTTATATTTTTGAATTCTTGAAATTGTATTTTTATTAGAGATGCCAAGAGCCGTATAATCTTAAGTTTTAAGGATTAAGTAAGATCTATAGGGTATATGGTGGTGAATGGGGGTGGGTGGGGGTTTCATGCTTATGTGTTTCGTTCGATCAGCTGCAACGAGTAAGTACGGTTATCTTCGGCACGCCGAAGATTTAATACCCTTATGTGAGAAACGTAAACGATGAGTTTGGAGAATATATCTTAGAAAACTGAATATGTTGCAATACATTACTCTGCCTATATATTTATGATATTGCGATCTTAATAAGATTAGGCTTATATATAAGCACTATACCAAAACTAGATTAACCAAGATATCTTGGTATGCCGAAAAGTTTTTCAAACAGAAAATTTATATATATATGTATATCGATCCTTCCTATGGCATCTATTCGAGATAGTCCTCCGATCATTATCGGATTTTCAGAAACAGGCAGA